TATAGCTTGCATTGAATAAGCAAGACGAATGATTCGGATATTTTTTAATCTACTCATAAAAAGTTGGCACTGGCCATTTCTACTCTATAGCCATTAGTTAGATTCTAGAAATAAAAAGCTCTTTATAGAAGTTCATCGCTTAAGCACATATACTTGAATGGTTTTTCACCAGTATCGGGTAAAATCTGAAATGCAAGAGTCATTTCAATTGTTTTTAAAACATCTCTCCAGTTGAACAACGCGATTGTTGAGTCTTGATTGAACCTTAGTAGTCATATCGAGGTTCAAATCTCAGTGAACGGCTTGGCAACTTAGAAGCTTTGGTAGTTTACTATGGGTTCAACGTAAATCGTTTCTTTTAAAAGTTCTTTGCGAAGGATGCTCAACCAGCAGCCGAGCGGAAGTAGTTGGACACTGTTGCTTTGGTGAATTCCACCGAACGGGGCTTGGCTGCATGAGGATTTTTGTGGTTTTCTCTACGTGTAAGCGTGCATACGAACCAGTTTACCTTAGAATGTTCTCCACGAAGGTATCACTTAGATTGATATCCGCCAAGTGCTTTGTCATAATCAAAATAAAGGAAACTTTTACGAAGGCTGCATAGGAAATTTCATGCGGTCTGGCTAAGGTAACTTGTGTACGAAAATGCTTTTCTTAGCAAATCCTCAACGAAGACATCTTTCGCCATGTAGATATTTCGGCTCGTTTTCTTTGCCGGAAGGCTAACTTCTGCAAAGGCATCGTGCCCATAGACACATAGCCCTTAAGTCCATTTTCATAATCTAAGTAATCGAAACTAATCAAAATGGGGGTGTACTTGTTTTCGAGTCACTGTGCTCGTATCGTATATAGGAAAACAACAATTTCAACCGTCAAATCGTAGCTTACATATATTTGTGTTACCATATAGCTTCGGCCTTAATAAGTCAATCCGACTGATATTTGATAGGCACATGAATAAACATCAAAACGAAAAGTACTGGAGAAATGAATACGTGAAAAATAAATACTGGAGTTCCTTGGGAAAAATAGGAGGTAGGCAGGTAAAGAAGGAACCATTGTCTCTTGAATCAGGCTAAATCATGAACTGAATGAAAAATAGATAGCATGCTTGAGAAATGCGGTCGAAACGTAACTTCAGTTAAACACAATTCCAGAACTGACACTGTACCGCAAACAGATGAGAATACAGTTCAAGCAGATAAAATGAAAAAACATCAATACAAATTTACAGCTATGTAATATTAAGATAATATGCAATAAAACATAAGTTTCATAAGACGGAATAAATGACAGGAGTAAAATATTTACAAATAATTTCTTTCCAGTATGATTAAACTACGGAACTGTGGTCTTTGAGTCATGGGCAGTGAAGTGTATGATATTATAGTCATTCTGGATTATCTCTAAATTAAACTAGAAAGAGAAGGTAACCTCCCATTGCTAACGCCTTTTTCTGAGAACTTCTCATTGCTTTTCTGGAGTCATATACTTTATTTTAAGTTCTTTGCACAGGAGTTTGTTTATGATAAAGTAGTGAGCTCATGTGATGGTCATCCAGATTTTGCTCTGCACGAACTGTGCTGTTTGGATCAATCTTGGAGGCGGCCGCCTAAGCAGGAGAGGCTGCTATGGGCCGTATAAATGAGACATAAGTTTGGGACTATAGAATTCATACTATGGGCCTTATAAATGAGACATAAGTTTGTCTTTTTCGGTAAAGACTAAACCCGAGTTTTTGCCTAAAAACACAAATATTGCACAGTCATTAGCTTTACTAGCTATACACTTAATATGTGTTTTCGAGATGAACCTGTCTTGGCTCCCAACGTCGAGCGAACAAAGATCTTCCGTGTGCCTTGGAGAGCTGAACGTCGTTGTGTTCTCGAATGTATTTTGCAATTAATTCTAACATTCGAATGTAATTCCTATGTAACCTGATTTTTATTTAACTATTTGACACTTGCATACATTACTTAAATGTTATTTGTTTGCATACATTACTTAAATGTTATTTGTCGTAGTATAAACAGAAAAATCTTGGTATTTTAAACTAAAGTGCGATATTATTAATAATGATTACATTCTCAAATTAAAACTTTTCTGTATATGAATAAAGGACTATAAGAAGTAAAACGCATCAATACATATTTTAGCCTATTGTCATACTTAACTACAAAATATTCTAATCTGCTTGCACTTCAAGAAACATTTCCAAATTACGAACGCTCGTTTCGAGTTTCACTTTTTTCAATAAAATAATAAATAATATATATGATCACAACAATATATAACACCCTAGCGATTTCTATTCAGTAAGTATTCGCAGCAGTTTTACATAATCAATACGCATCTCAAATTTGAAATGGTGAACAGGCAGTGTCAGTTTGCCCTGTGTCAAAATGTTGTCAAATGTCAATGGCTGACAAAATGTTTTACATCCCGAGATTCGGGGCGTAAGCAAAGTCACATGAAAATCTCACCTTTGCAAAAAGGGAACAACTTAATAGCCAAGGTAGTAGCAAATCGCGAACGCCATCTGGCGACGAATTTTGTGAAATTCATTGAAAACGGGGCAACGGAATTTTAAGCAGTCTGACAGGGCTTATTATATGGTTGGACTTGGAAAAATCGCCAATGATTCCACTCCTTCAACAAGCACACATGGATATTTGTCTACTTAGCATTAAGTGTATGACGGAAATTTAAAAATTACTTTATTCATAAAACTGAGGGCACTGATTGTTTAACAAGGCAGTTGTACTCGGAGCATTAACTAGAATTTATATTTTTATCTGAAGCATCTGATCTTTCCAGTGAATTTAAACAGACTCTAGATATATTGGTTCTAAATATCTTAGTTACTTGTATTTCAAAATAAATGCGGAGTATAATTCAAATTTTAAGCTGATTTCTTACTTGAGATTATAATAGGCTCTTAATCACGAATTGTAAAAAACGAAATGAAATACCAAAAACCCGTTTTCCCACAAATAATACGGAGATCGGAGCTCACCTCTTATTGTCAACTAGGCGGCCTGTATAAGGCATTTAATAACACATATAATTTATTTCTGAAGCCGAGAGCTTAGATATGGCGAGATTGAAATGTGCAGTAGTTTCATTGGTAATCCAAATTCCTGACAGAACCTTCCCGAAGTCCGAGTAATAATCGGATCAGATGAATTTCAATCAGTTATTCGGAGACAAACCTCTGGACATAAAAATCTCGAGAAAGCAAAGACTGTATCGAGAAGATAAGGATGTTTGTAAACATATAGCTTTGCGGCATGGGGACATTTAATATGTCAAGCCGATAGTATTTTCCTAGGAGTTGATAGTCAGGAAAGAGAGCTAGGATAGACTTGGAGCCTTTTCTCCACTCATATCAGTATGTTTGTATATCACGTTGTGTTTTCGTCTTCTAAATGATATGAAAATTCTTACAATAGATTGTTTTATTTTTCATTTCTTTCATTTCATTTATTTCTTATAGTCTTCATATATGTAATCAATATTTTCCTATATTCAGCATTCTAGTCAAAAGTTATTTTTCAAATTTGTATATGTAATTTGATAACATCTCTTACACATGTACAGCAGTATTCAAGATGAAATACAATTTTGAGTGTAAAAGACGTATTACAGCAGACACGCAATTTAGGCGCCTCCAGAAATATAACAGCACAATCTTAGTAACCAACAGTCCTCGGAATAACGAAGTTTAAGCAAATGTCAGTCTTATAGTTATTTAGAGCGGGCTACATGGCGCGTCTACTTAAACTATATCAAAGGAGTGATATACATATCGGATGATAAGATCAAAACGTTTAAGATGAATGGAACATGCCGCACTTTCGACACCCGTGGTTTTTCAGCCGGATGATAAGGCCTAATTAGAAGGCCATGAAATCTGGTGTCTACTCAGCACTCGTTTTGCTATTTTAATTGAGCAGCAGTGTTTTTGTGTTCTTGAGGTGGTTTATCAATGTCACATAGCAATTTGTTAGCCTGCGATTTCATATTTGCAGTGCAGAAGTGGCCGACCGGCAAAGTTGCTAAACACTGGTAGTTCAGTCTGAGTTTTGAATCCCGGCGAACGGTGTGCTGCATAGGCGCCGCCCTTAGTCAGATAGCACTCGAATGGTTTTTCGTAATTAAATAAACCAAACTAAACAAAACCATATTTGCAATGCAGTAGAATGTGTGCTTCTCTGGGCAATTTACGCAAATTTGGATTGTTAGCATATCCATTGTTTGCACGCACTACAGATTTTTATAAAGTTTTGCAGATGCCGGTATCCTCCCCCCCTCCAGCGGCCGAGCGGTAACGTCGCTGAACACTGGTAGTTCGGTCCGAGGTTCAAATCCCGCGGACGGGCTGGCTGCATGGGTGTTTTCGTGGTTTTCCCCGTGTGTAACGTGCATACGAGCCAGTTTCCCTTAGAAAGTCCTCCACGAAGGCATCCCTCATCCTAGGCAGATAGCCCTCGAGGCTTTGCCATATTCACACACACACACACAACCCCCCCCCCCCACACAAATTTCGTTCTTTGTAAACATGGATTTCAAGTTAGTCTTGTGCTTGCCTGGAAAATAGTTTCATGCCATGTGGTTTACCTGATAGGAAATTTATCAGTTCACAATTAAAATTGATTATCCCTATTTACACCACGCTGTTTTTCTTTTTTACTTCTTATATCGAAATCTACAAAGTTCAGTTTCTGGCGAGTTTAGCAAGTATTACAGTCATAAATCATAGCGATAAAACATTATCTGTATATTAATTTTGCATATTCATTTCTTCGGTTTCATAAGCAAAAATATTTCATCTTTGACTTACATGAAATGCACTTAACTTTTAGATTTTTGCCTTTTTATCTTTGCACCCGAAGACAATGCTAAGATAATGCAAGGAAGATAATAAAAGTACTTCACACGTTTAAGGATTGTTATACTCTCCTGCGGGGTGTTTCTCATCATAAAACTTATTCTGACAAGTGCTTACACAGAAACTGGATTTCATTTTAGGTATTAGAAATTTCACATGAATGTTATCGACCACAGAGTGAACATTCAGATCGTGTGAAACGACAAAACCATGGAGCGCTTGTTAAGAAACTTTGTGATGTTAATCTTGTTTACATGTTATGGTTCAGGTAAGATAATATTATTTTAACCGAAATTATTGATATTCTTTCAGTTGAGGTACTCAAATTTTAAGCACCGCGAAGAGCTATTGTTAAAAAGTTTTACTGTAATTACAACACAGTTATCAACTGGACGACTGGAATTGAAAATGAATGAAGATTATTTAGTTACAAAGAATGTTAACATTCTTTGTAACTAAATAATCTTCATACATTTTCAATTCCATTCGTCCAGTTGTTTCATTCCAATGCTAACATTTTTCAAAAATTTTTGAAAATTTAATATTCATTTAATACATCCTTCCAATAGATCTGTTTTGGTTTTTGAAAAGTAATCCAGCTGTTGATGTATTTGATATTTATACAAATGGTTCTGGAGTCGAAGGAAGCGTAGGAGCTGCCTTTGTTGTTTTTTACTATGGAACTGAGGTGAATTATAGAATGTTTAAGTTGAATATATATAATTCAGTTTTCCGAGCAGAAAGGGAAGTGTTCAAACAAGCCTTATTATGGATTAAAAATACCTTGTTTATACCCACGTCTGTAAATATTTACACTGGCTGCCTGTCACTTCTCCATGCGCTCTCCCGCCCAGACAATTTCAATCTAATAATTGTCGAAATTAAGAGTTATTTACAAAATTTGAGTTCATATTTAAATATTAAGCTACATTGAGTTAAAGCCCATATAGGCGAGAGGAAACACTGGCCAAGCAGGCGGTCTGAAATGTCAGTGCAATGGATATTGAAGTAATAGGTTCGAAGACAATTGCTATTCGAAGAATGAAAGAATTTTACGTTAACAAATGGAAAATACAGTGGTTCTCTTCACCTAAAAACAAAGGATTTATGGAACTAATTAAAATCACGAATAAAATGAAATGTTATGAACAATATTGATGTTAATTAGGTTTTAACTGGACATGGTAGGTTTCCGTTCTATTTCAACCGATTTAATCTGCAAGAAAATAAACTATGTACGAGTTGTCAGGTTGATGGGGATGCTAGGCATTTTGTGGTTGATTGTAGTTTAACAGCCTTTATTAGACGGATTTTTAACATTACTGATTTTAATGTAAGTGCCATTAATTTTAAAGTTTTTAAATCCTATACTATTGCTCTAATGAAGTATATCAATGAAAATAGGGCGCTTCTAGGAATCTTCTGTTAAAATTGAATTCTATATATATATGGGTTTTAAATACCTGTGGTGTTCTATGTTGTGAATTTGTGTTTTGTTTGTTTGTTGGTTTGTAATTTTGTGTTAGATGTGCTTACTTTTTTTTAAATTTAGAATTTTTGTTGTTGTTTGAGGGTGGCTGGATTACTGGCTGCTCGTGTTTGTGGACATACGGGCTACTTTTTCTGAGCTATGGGGACACTCGTGTCCAGGTGGGCTGAAGGGAGCCTCCAATTCTTACGGTTATCACAAGCCTACATATAAACTTTTCAGTATATGCATACATTTTATGTAGCACTGGGATTAGTGTGTGTTTCAGTGTTTCCAAAACCATAGATATGTTTAGAGAAATAGCACTAAAAAGTAGGAAACAGGAATGTGAACCGTTTAAGATTTTAACGGTCGCCCAAAAGGGTTTGTTAAGGTTTTCTTACGTTCTCGCTGAACTCTCAGCCTACCAGTCTGCTTTTACACGCACTTCCTTTTGTGGTCTTTTTAGCTTTAATGTTAAGCATGATTTTCTTCGCACTTACGCTGTATAAAATTCAACAACAAAATTACAAAATTTTAAAAGCAGTATAGCAGTATACGTTTAGTATTCAGATGAAACATTAAGTGTTAGCATACACTTTTCTGTTTTTTTTTTCAGGCTTTTCTCAGTTCTCGATATCAGTGTTCAGTCACTTTACATTCGATTCAATTTTACAAAATATGAAATAGATAATAAGGACTAAATTCAAAGTACTGGCTTCCTGTTGTCCATGTTCAGATGGAGGACTACTTTATTTAAATTTTGATGGCTCTAGTTTCCGTTGATTTTTCCCAATGCGAAAACATAGATACATTCTTCCAGATTCTTCATTACCTAACTTCTTTAATAATACAGGGCGATAATATTGGGTAGCAAAAATTTGAAATGTTGTTCAAAGCTTTTAGTGATTTGCCGCAAAATGCGCTTCGAGACTGATAGCCCTTTTGGGCTTAGAAAAAAATTAACCACTAAAAATATATCTAATGAGACTAACGATATTCAACCATTATTACCGCAATCAATTAAATCAATCTGCTTTGTTTCCTGTTAACTACCTTGTTATGTCATCCTAAGTAAGGCCAATTTCTTGGCTCATTATTTATATGAACATTTATATTCTCCGTTAGATATTAAATGCGATATCATGCTTTTAATTGATATATCCTCGCTTTGAATTATGTTTCTTCCTAATAAATCCGATACGTTTTCTACCTTCGAAACTGGTAACTCTGAAGTTTTTCGCACAGTTCTGAACAATTTTATATAAATATGCTGGTGTATCGCAGCAAATGGCTGCTTTAATTTCTCATGACTTGAATTATTCCATTGGCATAAAAGTAAATTCGATTTGCACAGATTGATAACGTTATGTCCGTTTTGTTATTCTTTTCTAAAAGACTCTTAATTTTGTTGAAGCAATAATTTGTCTATGTATCTGAAGGTAAATTTAAAAAGCTCAGAATTTTGGTAGTTGCTGATAAAACCAAATTATTGGAGGAAGAGGAAAAGGTCACACATGTTTGTAGAATATTTCAAAGTATTGTATTAAAAGTATACGGATTCAAAGTATTGTTCAATGTATTGGAGCTTATGTACGTAAAATTGCAATTTCTTTCTTTTTTCTCTGCTTAGCATTTCGTCCTGAATATTTTACTACAACACATATTGCAATAATTTGTTTGATTTATTTCTGATTTTCAGCTGAAGACCTTGTGTGTGATTTTGACAATTCAAGTTGTTCCTTTCTAAGGAATGATCCTGAAAACTTCGAGAATTGGAAGTTTGGAAGAGGTCAACTAAACTCCGCTGGTGAAGGACCATCAGTGGACCACACGTTTGGGACAGGTAAAGAGAATTACCTCTTGGTAGGAGTTTTCCGGCTCTAAATGTAACACGCATCAAACAGTGAACAACTTAGGAATTATCGCAAAATAGTGCATAAAAAGATCTGATGAGGTAATTCTAGGTTTCAGAGTTTAAATTATTTATTACCATTACTTTAATGGCTTTTTTTAACAAACATCGAACAGATTTAATTCTACTAAATCAAGAAATATTACTTAAAGTAAAATGTATATCTTGAATTATAAACTATGCTATTATTGCTGTCTAAGAGTAAATGCAAGCAATTGTAATCTAAACTTTAAATGACTCTCAACAGAAACAATTAGCGACACACATTCAGCTTGGTCAATAAAAACTACTGCAAAATTGTAATGACTCTCAACAGAAACTATTAGCGACACACATCCAGCTTGGTCAGTAAAACTTTTAATGACTCTCAACAGAAACAATTAGCGACACACATCCAGCTTGGTCAATAAAACTACTGCAAAATTTATATGCAGGACTGCAGTTCTATTTGATAAACCGGACATCTGTGTGAGCTACTGGTACGGCTAATGTTTCTAAATATTCGTGTAATAAGAACACTCTACTTATGCCTTATTCGCCGTATTCTATTATACGCATTTCTGGCTTGGGCCACTGCAAATAAAAGGGAAAGAGTAAAAATAAATACTTTGAAGAATAAAATTTTATGATGAATAGTGAATGTGCTGTGGTTTGCACGTAGCTCCATTATCCACGAGGAATTCAAAATAAACCCTATCCATGACCAAATTTCAATTACTCCTCATAACATTTTCAAAAGAGCAAACACGCCTGGCCCACAAGCGGCCGAGCTGTAAAAGCCGCTGAACACTGATAGTTCGGTCCTTGCCCCCCCGCAATTACATAAACCAAACCAAGTTACATTATAGTTATCTTATTTGTTACAGGATACACTTGTATATTCTTATTCCACAGCACCGTTCTATCATGCCTCTCGGTTGGGTTTCTTGATTTGTCATTTGCTTGCTTTATATTCAGCACCGTCTTGCCTTCCTTCGTCTTCTCTTGGGATGCTAGGGTCATGACGGTCTTAAGTTAGGCGCCCTCGACGTAATACGTTATTGAGCCGGAAATGTCGCTGTTTGCACCAATATTGCGGCGATATCTGCACACAACAGAGCAGAATCCCATTATGTACATAATTTCGAGACTAAGATGTTTTATTTTCTACATTTTTCTCTATTATATCAGATGGCTCTTACTGGGAAGGTCCTTGAGGTTTTGTACGAGTGGTAACTCCACTCGAGGATTACTTGAGGGGTCTCTCGAAGCAAGATATAATTCTTGTTAAACCCAAAGCATGTCACAAAATTGCTTCGGAATGTTTGCGTTCATTCCTTTTAGAAGGAATTAAATTGAATTTAGGTTGTTCATTCCTTTTAGAAGTATTAATACTGCAATTAAGTACAAAATTATAGATAAATGGCAGCTAATCTTGGACACTCAGGTGAGTAACAAATGTAAAAAACATAAGAAACACAGATAGTTCTAATTACACAAAGTTACCATATAAAAGTTGCAAGTAATTTATCAAACTGGCTATCAAACTGGAATTTTAATATTTTGAAAGTCTTCATCCGAAGGGGATAGTGGACACATAAACTAGACAAAAACCTCTATTTTTCAGCGTTTGTCTGGTGTGAAGAATATTTTTCTCTGCTATGGACTTTTTATCAGATGTAAATGTTATATGCAAGCAATCTTTCGTAATTTCTATATCTGTCACAAGTTTGTATTTCTTGATTAATATTACGGCGATCAAATAACGCATCATGGCAGTCGCTTTGGAATTTTGGCTTTCAGATTTGTAGAAAAGTAATTGCCTGATAAAATATTTTTTTAAATTTATTGTAATGTTAGACCGGATGTACTGTAGCTGCATGTTAGTCATTGATCAGTCGATTGGTTGAAGAAAATATAAAATTCTGCATTCAAAATCAGGCGTGTTTTAGGAAACGCTCGTTTAGATTATGAAGACGTATACTTTGAGATGCTGAAAATATCATGAATTTTAGACACTTGATCTGTATGTCTGAAGATAGAATCATCGTATAGCCTTAAATCCCATAATGTGCTTGCAAGAAATAAAAGAAGCTGGAGTTCCAGATTTAGATCTGATCGATTAAAGAAAGACTGATAAGCATTATGCTTATGGAGAAAGAATTAGTAAACAGCTCAGAAAACGATTAAGAACTGAATATTTAAAAAGAACAATTGAGAGAATAAAGGGATGCAATTTGGAGGAAGGGGATATCGCCTTTCTTGGAAACGACAACGTGAAAAGAAACAATGGGTGCTTAGCCAAAGTGCTTAAAATGTATCCTGGTAAAAACTGAAACGTAAGTGTGGCAGATCTCAAGACCAAACATAGGACTTATTTGAGACCTTTCCAAAATTTATATCCCCTAGAAGTCAAAGAAAATAAGAAACTTTTAAAGAAGAACGATCCCGATATGATGATCGGAGATTCTGGTTCAACACTTTACGTGAATACTCCAAGTGATACTGAACGTCTTGAAAATTCTTTTTTACTTCAATGGCAGATTGTGAACAGTTAAAGTTTTGTAACAGAGTCCATTAATCTATACTAAGGCCAAATGTGGTGGTCTCTTTATTATGCAGGCACCTAATAGGTGGGCAACCATTGCCTCCTATGAAGGGACGGACAGTTACAACCATGCCTTCTCCGGGATTCGAACCCAGGCCCTTCGGTATCGCAGTCAGGCTCCTCTAAGCACAATAGCGTCTGGGCAGCGTCTTAAAAATTCTTGTTATTCAAAAATTACGATTTCAACAGACCAAGAAAAAGAGATAATGAATGAACTTGCGACCTTTAACAATTATTGTACCTCAGTTATAAATCTCTGACTCTCGAAAGGGGGAGAATATCGCGAATGTTCTACTATCTCTGTAACTATGACTGCAACTTTAACGAACTCTAAGTTTTGATTTCGAATTGTAGCCACGTGCGATCTTTGAGCGGGTAGTATATTTTCTAAAACGTTGTAAAATGTGCTTGTATCTTTAATGATTTATTAAATGTTCTCAATATTAGATCACAGTTGTGAATTTTGATGAATTTTAGATTTAAGCGAAGAAGATATTTGCTGTCTCCATACTCGTTTACAGAAACGGTAAAAGAAACCTCAAGGTGAGTATTCACAAGAATTTTAGAACATATAATGTCGTTCTCCCTGATTCTGATTTTCCTTGATTCTGATTTCTGCGAACGATGAGCAATCTCAGAAGGCATTTTGGATTTTTCTAAGCAGATGAGTTTTTTCTTATTCATGTCTTTTCTTGTTAGTACTTTAATATTATTTTGGCAAAGGTGTATGGGAAGGCTTCTGTTTTATTTCAGCATTAGCTTAAATAGCTTAGAAAAATTAGAGAAAATTAGCTTTCAGCTTAGAAAAATTAGGGAAAATAATTTGACTGCACTGCGTCACTTTCCGAGTTTTAAAATGTTCGAAGTAACATTTCCTCACTTCATATTAATTTTCAATGCATTTTACATCATGCATCATGAACGTACTATATTTGCTAAGAAGGAAGTAGAAGGTCATCCAATATTTCTTTACATATAATATTTACTAAAACTTCGCGAGTGCTCTAATTGTTTTACAATGAAACCCAATATGAGTGAAGGTATATTGGAAATGTAATTTCAACATCAACCAGCAAAGTATAAAAATAACTATAAGGAATTCGCTCGAGACAAGTTTCATGGCTTTTGTATTTAACAGAATTCTCAACAAATAAATGTAAGCTGTGAAGAATAATAACGTGATTCGACTTACGAACACTAAAGAACAACCGCCGGAAATTAAAAATATATTTCATGGTTAAATGGCGCCAATTGTTGCTTTCGTATCAGTGGGCACCGGTTAATACACAATCACTGAAATTGGTTTGGAAAATAATTATGAAATTTACTGATGTTTAAGTTATACAAACACTCCAGTAAGAGAATTCTTCAATTGTAAAGACGATTGTGGCAATGATAATAAATAATCTTGATCACAAATACCATATATAACGTAACACCATCGTGTCATCTGTTAAAACAGTATTGAGAATATAAGATCGTTCGCGGCTCCAACTTCTGGGGCCTACCAGCGACCCAGCGGTAAAATCGTTGAATACTGGTAGTTCGGTCCGGGGTTCAAATCCTAGAGAACGGACTGGCTGCATTTGCGTTGACGTGGTTTTCCCCATGTGTAACGTGTATACGCGCCGATTTTCCTTAGAAAGTCCTCCACAAAGGCATCCCTTCCCTTAGGCATATAGCTCTGGAATCCTTTTCCATAATCAAACTAAATAAAACCGGCTTTCATTTTCTCCGAATATTTGTGGTTTTGTGTCAATAAATATTAAGTAATGGATAAGATTAAGGATTTTAAAGTTCAAATAACGTAATAGCTAAAACTATGGTTTATATACTTAAGGGCTTACGTAATGGCTAAAACTATGATTTATATACTTAAGGGCTGTTTGGAAGGACCGTCACATTTGTGACTGATAAATCTACATTTTGATAAGCCGCCCAATCTAGTGGTTAGTGACGCTGACCAAAGGTTCCGGGCTCAATTCTCAGAGACGACATGGATGCTTGCAAATATCTTTGTGGTTTGGGAAGCCTCTAAATATACGGCGAGCCGAAAATCCTCTCGAGATGTTGATGGTAGGGGAATAGGGGTGGGAGCCCGTCGAACCCGTCCCGCCTCGCCAAAGAAGGAACACAGAATCTGAATGCACCAATGGGGTTCAAACTATCAAAGTCCCATCTCAAGAAAACAACACAGATTACCGCAATTGAACAGTGGCAACACGAGCGGGACAGAGTTCCTCAAGAAAGACTAGCCCACGATTACTACCACAAAGTTTAAATAGAACGCCTAGTCTCGTCCCCTTACATCACCAGGTTTGTTTCCGGCCATGGACCCTTACCTGCTTATTATAGGGAAAGACATATCGCTACAACAGATTGCTGCGTATGCGGAGACACAGGCAGCCCTGAGTATTATTTAACTACATGTCCCTTTACAGAGCATCTGCATGTAAATCTGCTTGATCAAACAACCTTCTTTAATAAAGAAACTAGTCAAAATTATGGCAAAATTAGAGGCATTTGGAATTGACCTGTGGAGTGTGAACTAACACATGCCATGCCCAAGTTACACGCAAAGTGATCAAATCACACCCATAACACATTAAGCTTGATTTGTATAAATCAGTATCTGTATCTAATCCAATAATTGTGGAATTCTGTAAATGTACGTATGGCACGCAACAATTCAGAGAATGATTATGTATCATGAATGTTATTCTACTAGGAATCAGTATCAGTAATTTGTATATATGTTACGGTGAAACACCGAAATCTGGAGAATGTCGACTTTCACCGGTGAATGTCAACATTCACATAATCGCTTGGTGTAAGTCCGAAATATTTTCCAAATACTCTTATTTCTGACTTACACCGGTCAATGTCGACATTCACCATGTACTATTGGTGAATGTTGAACATATAACAATATTATATTTTCTTCTCCGTAATTCAGTCGCGAAACAACGCACCTGAGACTTAAAATAAGAACTTAAGAACATATGAACTTAAAACACATAGTGCATTCAAAATGAGAAAGGAAAATAATTGAAGTTAAAAACTTACTCAATGATACAGTACGTTCTAAATGAGAAAATAAAATAATAGTAATAAAATAATTACTAAATTATGTGATTCAAATCTTATTTATTGCAACAACTTAAACTATTATGACACTTTGAATTGCACAAGACGCCCTTGCTTTACATCTGCATTTATTTGTGGAACACTGAAACACTTCCTTTTTGCAATGACAACGTGTACAGCTTGCTCACCGCTTCTCGAATTAGCTGCAGCTGCTTCTCTCTCAGCGACATTTCTTGTAATAAAATCTCATCTATGGAAAGTAACTTTTCTTTACAAATTACGAACTGATTACGTGTGTAAAGCTACTTGAGAGTACTGTTTTCGTTTGAAAGTTTATAGAAGATTATATAGTCTTCTATTCCAACAACAACCGCTAACACATTTCGGTTATTTGTACGACCACGGTCGACATCAGGGACTTGTATTCATACAGTATCACCAATTTGAGTCAATCTTTTCGACCTACACCAGAGCATATCTGTGATTGTCGACATACACCGGAGAACGTCCGAATGTACAAGAATGTAATGCAATATTCAATCTTTCACCGACGTATTTGGGGAATGTTGACATTCTCCGGTGAAAGTCGACATTCTCCAATTTCGGTCTTTCACAGTAACATATACATGAAACAATCTAGTCGTACGATTATGTTTTACGTAAGTTTATCTATTATGAATCAGTATATTTATCTATTATGCTTATCAATTATCAAATGTATCATGTACGTAAGTAAACGTATGTAACGTATAACCTGTTCAGTGTGAACTGACACATGCCATGTCCAAATTACACACAAAGTGATCATATTCACACACACAAAACACTAAGCTTGATTTGTATAATTCAGTATTTGTATGTAATTCAGAAACTCAGTTGTATGATTATGTATAATGTATCTTTATCTTACGTAAGTTTATCTTATATATGTTTACCTATTATGAATCAGTATGTTTATCTAATTATGTGTATCAATTATCCACGTCTCATGTATGTAAGCAAGTATGAACAAATGTTTTTATGTACGATGAAACCAGCCCTTGTATGGCGATATTCAACCTTTCTGTTTTAAGGAGTTGTTCTGGACAGTTGCGGGATTCGGACAATACTCGGACAGTCTGTGTAAGCCGACCGAGTGTCCGGACCCTGCTCTCAATTGTCAATTGGGGTGTCCTTCATCAAAAATGGGGGGGGGGCTGGACAATGTACTACTGCCATCTGTAGGGTGCCCAAGGTTGTTGCCAAAACATCAGGCGCAATCTTGACTCCTTGCCAAGATGAATTTCGTGGGCTTGCTCTGATTTCAAAGACCTGATCTGAGTCAGGTAGGATAAGTCACAATAATAAAAACAACAATATTTTGTTGAAAAAGAATGCCCCTATTTTTTTTTCCACAAATTTACCTTACTTCTAAAGAATAAGTCGGTGGACTTCATTAAAGGTTCTAGTGGGGCGAATCATGTCCCGCAGGTCATGCGGTGGACAGATTTGTTCGGAAGGTCTGTTGTCTAACCCTGAGGGTAACCCAGATGAAGAATTTGATAGTCTTCTGTCATTCCAAATTCCATCGTTAAAAACACATTATAATTTACTTTATAATTATGATTTGTTTTCAGATCAAGGTAACTATTTGTATGTGAACGGAAGTGCAGCCAAAGCGAAAGGTGTCATATTACAAACAAATATGTTGGACCATGGATACGTCTGCGTCAGCTTCTTTTACCACATGTACAGCGCAGGCAACGGAAGGCTGACTGTCTACACTCATAATCTTTCCAATGGTTACGATAAAGTCTATTTCATTCGCAGGAAGACGCAAGGTGATCGCTGGGAGAAAACAGAGTTCAGCGTTTCAATCGAATTAAACACAAATATCATTGTAAGTAGAAGTTTAACTCATTATTTAAACATAAGTGCTAGTAAAAAATAGATAGAAATGGTAGAAGAAAGTTTTAAAGAACTTTTACTTTTAGAACTTTTAAAGAAAAACAAGAATTCACTATGCAGAAAATCGTGAATTAAAGATAACAAGCATCTTTGTTATCAGATGTAATTTTATACTCGTTTCTAATGAGGTGAAATTTGGTAGAAAAGCTGCAGCATCAGAATAGTAAACTAATTATTGTATCAAAAATGGCGACTTATCTTTTCAAGAGCTATACGGACAGCCGTTAAAGGCGCCAAATACTAGATATTATTAGGTTCTTTTTGTATTGAGTGAAGAGTTAGCTGCATGTATTTTTAATTATTTTTCACTTTCTTGTCTAAAATAAAGGAAGTATTGTAATCGCAAATAATTTCAGGTATCATATTTCAAGGAAACTGGAATTGATTCCAACAATGTTTTTGCTTGGCATCTGTACGTGCGGACAGAATAAAGGAGCTTTTAAGAAACGGTTATAATATGGATCCAAAAGAGATTTTTTCGGGATGTCTGTACGTACATATGTATGTAAATAGCATAACTGTGGTGTATATAAATCTAATATATATTCTACGTTGCGCTTTAGAGACACCAAAAATGCAAATTTAATTATGTCAAAAGGCCCAGTATTGTCGCTTTTCTTGTGTGGGTGTGCGTGAGGGTGTATAAAATGCAGAGTGTGTGTGCGGGTAGGAATATACACTGGTTTTCAAAAACTAAGGAAAAGTCACTTAAGTAACCATAACTCGTTCAAAAAATAAGCGGCTCGATGTAAAATTTGAACATACATAAATATTCAGATTTTTATACGAATATATATATATATGTAATAAAAAAGAATTTTTCAATATTGACGGTGTAGAACGTAGAAGGTTGAATCCGTAATTAAGAGAAAGAATTTTGGTGCGTCGAATGCTGAAAAGTCGATCTACAATGAATAAGAAAGTAGCAGTCGAGGCAGATTAAATCTTTTTTTCCTTTTCAGTAACCCTGTTGCGGCCCCAAACAATTTGGCACATTATTTACGCTTATTTAAAAATGTTTACTTTTTTGATAGATTTGCAGTAAGAAGGGGGCAGCAGACAGCAGTACAGTTAGACCGAAGAGCAAAAAAAGCGAAAGCGTTATGTTCAGTATGAAATCAGATGAATTAGATTTGGTTGTCAATACATTTTGATTGGATAATTAATACTGCTGTCCACGGATAGCCGTGGAACCTTGAAGTTTCGTATATAGGACTGCGATAGCACGTAGTTGTGCACCTCTGTTTTGGGGGTTACATTCGGCAGCACCAAACGTATATGTGCACGAAAAATAGAGAATATGTAAAAGATAAATTATAATTTAAACTAGCAGCGTAAATTACTTTAACTTCTCTATTCTAAATATAGTAATCTCCCTTTGCACTGTGTCATTCCGAGACTATTCCATGTCACATGACTCTTACATAACTCTTATGATAAAAATAGAACTAAAACCCAAACAGTAATAATTTTACAGCAGTATTAATTATCCAATCAAAATGTATTGACAACCAAAACTAATTCATCTGATTTCATACTGAACATAACGCTTTCGCTTTTTTTGCTCTTCGGTCTAACTGTACTGCTGTCTGCTGCCCCCTTCTTACTGCAAATCTATCAAAAAAGTAAACATTTTTAAATAAGCGTAAATAATGTGCCAAATTGTTTGGGGCCGCAACAGGGTTACTGAAAAGGAAAAAAAGATTTAATCTGCCTCGACTGCTACTTTCTTATTCATTGTAGATCGACTTTTCAGCATTCGACGCACCAAAATTCTTTCTCTTAATTACGGATTCAACCTTCTACGTTCTACACCGTCAATATTGAAAAATTCTTTTTTATTACATATATATATATATTTCGTATAAAATCTGAATATGTATGTTCAAATTTTACATCGAGCCGCTTATTTTTGAACGAGTTATGGTTACTTAAGTGACTTTTCCTTAGTTTTTGAAAACCAGTGTATATTCCTACCCGCACACACACTCTGCATTTTATACACCCTCACGCACACCCACACAAGAAAAGCGACAATACTGGGCCTTTTGACATAATTAAATTTGCATTTTTGGTGTCTCTAAAGCGCAACGTAGAATATATATTAGATTTATATACACCACTGTTCTAACATAACAGTCATGAAAATCCGAAGTTAAATTTCTTCAATTGGCCAATAATATGGTAGAAATGGAACTGTTTTTTTTTACTTTTTTGTACTAAGCAAAAAAATATTGTAATGGCGAAAAATTTATCCATTTTGACCCGAATCTATCTAAACGATATTTATGTGTGATATCTGTATGTACGGGCAGAATAGAGGTCTTTTTTTACCAAAACCGATTAAAAAATGGATTTAAAATGTATTCAGATGAGAGTTTCTCGCTTCACAGCATGGTATATAAATATATACTCCAACTCTGTTACTCGGCCTCGGTGAGTTCAGAGGTTTTATTCTTCCCATTCTAGGAGTGATGTTGGCACCTGGGTACCTAGGCCGGAGTCCTACCCCTTGTAGAACAGTTTACCTTTCCTAATTGTTACAAGAGAGAACTAAAAAGAGATTGTAGCTGACCGAATTGATAGAGATGTAATAATAATTAAATAATTGAACATTGGGCAGCACCCTACATTTGCAGAACGGGCGAGTTCGAGCTGGTGATTTGCTAGAAAAATAGAAATGGAATGACACAGGCAGTTACGAGTCCATTGGCGCATTAGGTTATTACATAAACAGGAGAGAGTTGAGGAACTACACAGCGTAAGTGAGATATAAAAGCAAATTGTATATAAATACATATGTATAAACGAATAAAAAGGAACACAATTTTACATCATGTAGTTGTTGAGCACAGCCATTGGCCTATTATTATTGGCTAAATTATTGTTATTTTTTATATGCCACATTTTAATAACGAGTTTGTTTATAGACCTCTACCTCTAACGGAATCTTTGTGCAAGAAAACAGTAATGAGTCCTGAGCTGAGCAATATTTAGTTCCTCGTTGATCCGGTTATTACGAAGGTACTGCGGAGGCATCTACGATCTGCCGCAGGAAACAGTTGTGCGCTGTTTTTGCAACCTTTTTCTATTACTTTTGCAGACTTACGCCCAGACAGGACACTCATAGTAAAGCATGGGACGTAAAACGAATTTGTAAATGAGTAACTTGTTGTCTATAGATAGGACGCAATTTCGAGCAATTAAGGATAGAGTTTAGCTTTACGAGCTCGAAGCTTCTGGATAATAGATGAAGTGTGTGGGGTCCATGTGAGCGAATTATTGAGGATCACCCCAAGATAAGGGACTTGCTTGGCCAGGAGATTGAGGTTTTATAGAAGTTGAGATATTCCAGAATTTTGTTTTCCTCGTGAAGAGGATAGCCAGTATTTTATCCACATTTGCCATAATTTTTCATTTAGCGAGTCGAGTCTCAAGTGCATGAATGTGTGCTTTTAATCATTGTATAAATGGGCTAACAAATGCCCTTTGAGCTAAGATCACTGTATCGTCTGCATACATGGCTAAAGTAGTGTTGGGCATGGTTGGAATGTCATTCACGTAAATATTGGCGAGCGTGGGACCAAGTAGGGGCGCTTGCGAGACACCGGCTGAAATAGGACGGCTATTGGACTATGCGCCTGAAACGTGAAAGACAAAATCTGTCTACCGGTCAGGTAGGATTTAATTATGTTTTTGATGCAGCTTGAGGAACTCAGGCTGCAGAATTTGTATATTACTGCATCCAGCCATACTCGGTCAAAAGCCTTAGGTATATCAATTAAGATACTTCCAGTGATTTTACGAGACTGCAAGACCTCTGAAATAGTCTCGAAAACTCTGTAGAGCTTATTTGCTCTGAAAGCTTCTCGACGGAAACCAAACTAATGCGGGATGAGAATTTGTTTTTCCAGGTGGCCATTTATTTGTTTCAGAATTACTGCTTCGCAGATCTTGATAAGCTCGGCAGCAAGCTGATAGGTCTGTAAGATTCTGGCATGACTGAAATGATGTTGTTCGTGCGTGGGTTTGTGGAGTAATTGGTAATTAGAGACAAGGTGTTCTATTGTAGGATCATGAATACTGTTAGTGCAAAATCAAAATTCCATATGCTGAACTAAGAGTTATGCTTTCTCAATTTCGGTGTAATGGATCCTTCTAGGGCTTTTAAGGGGCGGAATTTTGTTGTAGCATTTTTTACACTTATCAGTAGCTCTCCACAGAGAGCGATTGCTAGTAATTAAGCCCGGTCGATTTGTGTTTGATCATTTGGAAGAGATTTGACAGCGTCACACGGGCGATTGAATCTCATTTTATGATCTCTGTGCCTAGTACTCTGGAATATCCTCTTTGCAGCATTTCATTCTCTGATGAGTTTCTGTAATTCCTTGGTTTTAGCATGTTTGCGTTTTTTCAGTCCTTCATAGCACCATCATGTGCATCTCGCGTTAGTCAAATTTAAGCTTTCAATATCATCCCCCGAGTGTATCGTGAGAGTTGTATACAGCTTTGGCGTATTTATACCAGTCAGTAATAAAGGCTGTGTTGTCTGGTGTAGTATAACAACTGATATCCAGAATTGATTTAACCGGCGAAATGACGTATGATCATATGACGTATGATTTCGTATGATCGTATGACGTATGATTTCGTATGATCCGACGAAAGTTCATCCAGCACGGAAGCATCCAGCGGATAGGAAGAACTCATTAATTCCGGATGAACCAGAAGTATACCGTGTTGGAGATTTTGGAGCTGTTATGCGTAATACCGCAACGTTTGGCCAAGTTAAAAATTACGCGTCCTATGGGATAGAATTATAGCAGTTCCAGGCGCGGTGTCTAGCGCTCAAATCTCCACCTATGACCACATGTATACCAAATGTAAGTAAAATATTTAAATCAGCCGAAAAGGCCGTAGGTTCAAGGATAGACACTGTAGTTTGAAACATGTAAAGGCATATTAGGCTCAAACACGTGTTCTTGCAGAAATATAAGATCGGGGACGTGCTCATTTACAAAATGCTGAAGTTCATTAATCTTACAGAAAAATCCATTCCAGTTCCATGTAATCACAGTAATAAAATTATAAATAACACTATTCATTAATTAAATAAATACATGAAACAAAATATCTTCAAATAGTCCAAACAATATTGTTGCGTACAATACTACACACGGCCACATACGAATTAGTGACTATACCGAGGAACGGAGGTTGCCAGATAATGAAAAACCTTGTTTGTTTTAAAGCGCTTAAAATTTATACAGTGACTGGCAACAGTAACGGACTGTCCATTAATGGGGATATCGATGGAGTTCCTTGCAATATGATCATTGACACAGGAGCTAATGTTACCATCATTAGGAAAGATTTATCTGAATAGTTTAAAGATAAACTTATTTGGACGCCATCCTGTGTTACCCTTCAGACTGCGTCTGGTGACAAGATCAAGATAGCTGAGAAGTTAAAGGGGAACATCACGTTTGGAAGTGCCGCCTACCATCACACGGCATATGTGGCGGACCTTAGACTTCAAAAACAATAAGCTGTTCTCAGCATCTGAAGACATGACGATCCATCTTCAAAAGGAATCATTGCCTGGAAACGCCGACGTCTCATGTGAAAGACCCTATGCAGAAAGCTGCCGAAATCCTACTAGGGTCGGAGAGAATCACCAGACTACCGGGTATTTACCATCACAGATGCTCTCCGGTCGAGCCCTTCGTCTGCCTTGTGACCGCCTGTTTGATCGCCATACGGATGCGCCTTCATCGCCTGAGGAACACATCCAAGATGTCCAGGCCTGTTTTGAAGTAATGTCCCGTTCCGCACGAAAGCGAGTGAACTTGGCGACGGAGAAAGTGAAGACCAGATACAACGCGAGAGCTACTGTACATAGATCCAACAAAGGAGACAAGGTGTGGTTGTGGAATCCGACTCGACGGAAAGGACTTTGTCCGAAATTACAGTCACCTTCGGATGGTTCATATACAGTGCTGAACAGACTGAATGACGTCATGGTTCGGATCCGTAAGTCTTCGAACTCTAAACCTAAAGTCGTTCATTACGACAGGTTAGCTCATTACTATGGCCACAGTACGTAATGTAAATAATTGTAAATAGTGTAAGACCATGGCCCTTTTTGTTTTGAAATGTGTATTTGATTTGATTTGTATTTAGTATTTGATTTGCATTTGTATTTATTTGATTGCATTTGATTGTTTAATTTATTGCATTTATTGTTCATGTTGTTTATTATTGTAATGTAAATCTTTTAATGTCATTTATGCCACAGTTGTAAGTTTAGCTTCCTGTCCAGGGATTGTACTGCCCGGGACGTGCAGTCCTTGGGAAGGGGGCAGTGTTACGAATTTGGTATTTAATATAAACAATTCATGAATTGTATATTCAGTTGCCTGTAGTCGAGGCATTCCGTCAGATATTTTTCAAGTATGCTTGCAATTGACCAACTTTTAAACATATTATATAATTCTTTTAGAAACTTAATAATGTCAGCAAAGGCTCCTAGGCCTAAGTCGACAAACTTTTTAACATCATTAAAACTGCCTTTATTATTGACAATAGTACTTTTATCAATATTAGCTTCATTTGTAACAGCACTAGCTTAGATTTTGTTTGATGCAACATTTGCGCGGATTTAGTTTGAACAGATGATTGGTTTACATTTCTAGTTTTAGCATTTACATTATAAGAAATATTATTAACAAATTTAGGGCACCCACGATAATTCGCGCTGTGACCTTCTTGACAACAGTTGACGATTTCGAGGTGCTTAGCCGAGCAGTTTTCCGTCTTATACGAACCGACACACTTCATGCATCTAGAATCTTTGTAATATCGCATATCTGCTCAACCCAAGGTTTTTTCTCAATTAGCGCTTTAGAAAGTGGCATGGGAGAGTTTGTTTTAATCCTGTTCATCTGAATCCACTTTTTTAACGTTACATCCAATGTTAACAGGGTCCTCGTGTATTTCATCAATGGGATAATCCGAGAGTAACCTTCTAGGCAGAACCTTTTAAAGGACTTCCCAGCTTCGCTGCAATCATATAGTGATTAACTTTTTTGTTGTCTAAATATCTAGTGATTTTTCTATGATCGTCTTCATATTTGTGAAAAATCAAAAATTCCTCGTTAATTGTCCCAGCAAAATCCAGTTGAGTCTCGTTTTCAAAATTTTAAAGAAATCAAAAATTCAATATCAGGTTTGACCACAATAGGGCGAATTTTGGCGAGTTGAACAGATACATTATCATTATCGAGTCCAGTCTGGGTTTCCATCAACTCTTCGTTTAGAATTTAATTTTGTCAGTTTACAAATCTACTTTGCACACGTATTTCATCACTTGGTTTAACCAGTTTAGCTGGCCGAGCAGGGTTTTTTGGCTGAATGTAGCCATGTTCACCTCTGTCATCATTTATCGACATTTTAGACACTTTCTTAATTGAATTATCTGACTTAACCTTTTGAGGTCGGAGCTTTGGTAGCAGAAAAGCTACCAAAGGACGGGAAATCTTGAACCGAATGCTTTCCCCCTTTAAGAAATCACCTCCTATTTGCAACAAAGATTCTTGTGTGTAGTTTAATGGTTCTCACAGGGGGCATATTTCGCAAAAGGAAGACCTTTGAAAGAGATAAGTGGTTAAAACCCTAGGGACGTCAAATTTAACATTTCACCCCACTTTTCAGCCTGGATAATGGGGGAAAAAACATGGCCACTGAAGTGGACAACCCCGTCTTTTCAAAGAGAGGACTCTATGTCCACTATAATGGCCATCCCGTCTTCAAAAGGTTAACATAAACTTTTAGCTTTTACACTATTTGAAACAGACTCAGTATTACTACTCGAAATATCACTAGTACTATTACATACAACGTTAACATTTTGGGGATCAGCAGCATTAGGAACAATATCATTTACAGTAATACAAGAAAGTTTTGGACTAGATGAGCTAAAATACTTACGCTTACCTTTAAAAATTTCCAGCAGTCCGTCGGCTATTCCGCGGGTGCGTTGGAACTGTAGCATAAGCGCTCGTCTCTCCTGTTCCGAACCCACGTGAGCCACGTTCGATTTCAGCCCATTTTCACGAGTTTTAATGTCAAGACGAATAATATCCGATAGGTATAAAACACGAACAAAGTTCTTGGCATCATATCCTATGCAATATCATCCAAAGCTATGATCCTATGCAACAAGTTCCTGCTGGTTTATCCTATGCAACAAGTTCCTGCTGGTTATCGTCAAGAACTTAATTTCCACAAACTTCAATTTCGTCGGTTAAGCCTAACCTGAGGCAGTGAGCAACAGCAGGCATGGTATCCATATTATTTAACGGATTCTTTCCTCTTCATAGCACAAAACACACAGAAATAGTAGTACTCGAACAAAATTGCACATCAGTGCAGCTCGCAGCCACACGAAGGCAAACCTTTTGTATTCTTATATATTGGTAAATTATATATTTTATGCTTTTAAAAGTGATTTGAATTATTTTTTTTCTTATGTTTCGGTTAATGTTTTCATGCCTTTAGTTAATCTGCATTCAATAGTTGTAGAACTATCAACAATTTAAAAGTTTAAGAGTGAGTTAAGCCTAATTACCGCCATTTGTTTAAATTTGAATCTTAGTATAATAGGTTTCTTTACAGTCAAGGTCGTTTTGGCGAGCTGGACCAAAAGTGGTAAGTTTCGCCAGCTGTGGTAAGTTTTACACTAATTTTGTAAAATCAAGTGGTAAGTTTTGCCTTCAGTTTTTTGTATCGAAGAATCTGCCTCTTTGCCGGCTGGCCGAAGTGCTTGCTTTTGCGAAGAAACTCTAATTTTGATTGAAAAAATTGTTTCTTTTTTTTAAAAAAAATAATTTAACTGTATGTGGTGTTTTATGTTTATCTATGTTTTTCAATTTTTAATGAAGATGTTTTGAGATTTTGCCTATTTTTGCCTGCCCGCGAAGTGAAAACTGAAATAACTGTAAGAGAATTATATCTCTAATCAAATTCGAAGAAATAAGTTTAAATGAAATACACCAAAAAATGTGTATAATTTAATGAGCCGTACAAGAAAGTCAAGTGGTATCCACATCATGTTCTTTTGTGAAGAGCGTACTACTAAAATTTTTAAACTAGCATTCAAAAAATGTTTCGTAGCAGCGTTCATTTGTGTGACTTTGCCGCTAAACTTCCTATATACGCTGACATCAATTCTGGCCGCATGTTTCTTTTCTGTGATAATTTGATTGAAACATTGTATAAAAGAATTACGGATTTTAAGTGTCGGCTAAGGGCTACCGGTAAGGTAAAGCATGACTATATATTTAATCCAAATGCTTACCAACATCACACTTTAGAGACATTAGGATTTTTTGGAAGCAGGCAAGATGAAAAGTTAGCAACGCCTTCTCCGGGAATCGAACCACGGACCTCTGCAATACCGACCCAGCGTGCAGAACCACTGCACCACAAAGGCACGTCAAGAAGGTGGGAGAAATACCTTATAACATAACTGCACAATTTCTTAAAATTTGTTTCTCAACTCTATTTTAGGGTAAAAATTGAGATCGCGAGTACTGTCATCTTTATTTAGAGAAAGGCAAAGAGTGATTATTCTCAGCTCATATAATTTTATTTGCCTTCGACTAAATTTATAAAGCATCGTTATTACACACATAAGTTAGATTATAACACAAACTAGGATTAAATTAAGCGTGGTGAATCTTATGGAGATTTTTGCCTAAATCTCCTCGATCCACAACTAAATATAAGACTAGAATGTACTAGCCTCATTTCTCCAGTTCGAGACTTTGAACATAATTTGAGTAAACCATTTTATTCAATTTACCATAATATGCCATTATTTTAATTGTTTGAAATCATTTAAAATTTAATATATTTTGATATAGTTAATTTTCGAAGCAAAATATGAATCTTCGTTTGAAGTCGGAGGGATCATAGCTTTGGATGATATAAGGTTGGACCGACGTAAATGCCTAAATTTTTTATGTAAGTTCTTTTTCTTTTCCAAGTATTAACTAATATTCCCATTCTCAAATCTTAGTGAATAAAAGTAAAAGAAATACGTTTTTGCTGACTAAAGTAAAGCTAGTTCAATAATTTAATTTATTTTGCTGATATGTTCTGATATTACGTTTTAAGTTAGCTAGTGCATTAAATATACACACTATTAGAAGAAATTAAAAACATCTTCCTAACCAGGGTGTGATTGCACTTTTGAGGAATCTAACTGTACCTACAGTGCTCTGCGTACAGGATCTTTGGTGTGGGAGAGGAAAGATTCGAAACAGACTGGTTATTTATTGAGCGTTTTACCACGTGTTGACCATACTTTAGGAACATCAAGTGGTAAGTTTTGCCTTTAATATCCATAAATGAAATAAAGTAATGAAATTTACGTATAAAAAGTAATAGCGTTTCTAATAGAAATTATGGTGGAAGGGAACATTATCGTCGTATTTCCTTACAATTAATTTGTGATAATAAAAAATATTTGCAAATATCATTCAACAGTGGTAAATTGATAACAAAATACTAAAACGTTTATAGGAAAGAAAGAGTGTATGGTGAAGCTTTACATTATGGTAACTTGGCGATTTTTTTGGCGAAAATT